TTGTACTAATGGCATACATTAAACACCCACCCACCCCCCCACCCCCCCAAATTTGGTTATTTGTTGAGTGAAACGAGTACAAAACAGAACTCTTGTGGGAGATTATTATTATGGGTGAAGGATAAAGATAAGAAAATCAACACATTTACAAACAACCATGTAGCGACAAGCCAATTTAATGGGAGGAAGGCCAGTATATTATGGACAAACAACCAAAGCCTCGATGGGAATAGAAGCTAGGACATCTGAGTCCCAAGGACTAGCTCAAACTTCATCACTAAGCTAGCCCTAACTGGGAGTTTGATAGCTGTTCAACTTATCACACAATAATGACCCACAACAACAATGCAGCACTTACCAAATGCTTCACAGTCTGTGCATTTAATGCTCGATACAATCTGCCTGTTTTGATAGCTGCAGTTGCAACATTTTTCATGTCAGCAGCCCTCGCTCTTTGAGTATTCAATATGGCATGTTCATTCTCAAACTTTGTCAACTTAATAAATGCTAGCCCCAATTCTCCCATTGTATTCCCCATATCTTGCTGTGCTTTAACCAGTGACTCAGCCTAACAGTTTAAAAAACCAATTAAACTTCCAAGTGCAATGCCATACAAAATTTAAGACAGAATTCAAAATATAATTTTATCAGCAGAGTAGCTATGCTAACATTTGGCATTCAGAACGCCAGTATGCATGAATAACAATATAGAACATGCATAACAATAGTACTAGAATCAGTGGCAGAATGTTGATGAAACCTGTTTAGAAGAATTAGTAAGTTGCTGCTCCATATCATGCAACTTCTCCTTCTTCTCCAAGAATTCTTTATCCTCCTCCTCCACGGGAGGCCTTGAACTGCCCCAATCATGCACAACTGACTGCTTCAACTCCTTGAACAGCCTCATAAAATCCCTTCTGCCCTTGGCTGGCTCCACCTCATCCTGCGACTCAACTACACTCCTCGACTCCCCCAGCAGCTGCTTTGGCAGCCTTACCACCCCGTCAAGCACCTTTGAGGCAACGTCATTTGATGACAGAGGCATCCTCCCCTCCACTGTTAGAAACTCCTTTAACTCATTGCTCTTCATAATCACAGGGTGCATTGCAAGCCTCCTCAAGTACTTCTCCAACGCAACTCTCCTCTGTTCCACAAACTCTTGCTTTTGCATCACCTGGCTTTCCATTACACTTTTATCAGGCCTTAGCGGAACAAAATATCCTCTATAGCCTTCACTCAGGCGATCAGAAAGCGTAACAACATCCCTAAACCGCCTCCGGACTCTAAAATCCGACCCTCCATACTCCTTAATATTTGTATTCGTGGTGATCAAATACGTAACGTAACTGTTGCCACCAGGAACAATAGATTTAGAAGATTCAACCTCTTTTTTTGGATCAGAAACCGTGATTCTCAAATATTCCGAGCCTTCCAGCTGGGACCTTGGCGATACCCTTAATTCGTCGTGTATTTCACCGCTCCCACTGGCTCCGTCGGAGGAGGAGACAGTGGGACTACCCTCAAGGGGACTGATAATGACATCAGCGTAGGAAGGGGATTCCGGAATGGAATCATGAGAGGGAAATAACAGCGGATCCGACACGGTAGGGGTGGTGGCAATGGACGGCGGGGTCAACAGGGGGTGACCGGAGGAGGATAGTGTGGTCATTGCACTGCTGTAACTGGAATAGGATATTGAGCTCGAAGCATCGTACTTGCTGCCATCGTCTTCGTTGAGAATTAGGGTTTCCATCTGTTCTCTGATTGAGTGATTGTTCTCTGAACCCATCATTTTTTTCAATAATTTTCGTATTTATTTGTGATTATTGAAGCAACCAAAAATGGATTCAAATAATTAGGAAAGGGGGAATCTTCAGTGCTTCTAATAACTAATCAGTAAAAGAAACCGTAAAATTTGAAGCTAAGTTAAATCTAGGGTTTATGATCAGAAAGAGAGATGAGAGGAAAATTATTCAAGAATGTATTTTCTTTCATAGTTATTATTTGATAACTTAAAATTCCTTTTCCATTTGGAGGAAAGGAATTTCCTTCTCAAAATTTTCAGCATTTTGGTCAAGAACGTGGATGAGTTTAGGTGATCGATATGTCATGGTTGTGTCGATTGTGTCCATCCATTCATAATTTTAAATATTTCCTCTTTCAAAATACATGTCATGGTGTAAGTTGAATTTATTTTTTCGTGGCGTTTAATCATACTATATTTATTGGACAAATCTTATTCATTGTTTACATGAACTTGGGGTCT